TAACCCCAATTAGGGTACTTATAACCATACTTACTAAGTCCCATGATCCTCTAAGTAGGGTTCAGAGTTCATGGTTTAGGGTTCAGGGTAGGTGGTCTCAGATCGGGAATACCAGTAACGGGAATGGGGGGGAAATGGATCCCTACTTGGAGTCTCGGAGGACTTACTAAGCAGGTTAGAGTAAGAAAGAAATGCCCTACTTATAGTAGTCCCTACAACCCAGTCCCGAAAACCTTACTAGAACCAGGCAGTGATATGGAAGCCGAAATGAAAACCAATACTATTCCATAGGGCTCCTTGGTGTATAACTTTACTAGAAGAATGCATCCCGAAACCCTATGTCAATTATTAAGGCCCCTGTCTTAGCACTTGGCAACCGCGGCTTAAGGTTTATAGTCTTTGGTTTTACTGGGGTTTGGCTTTCGGGTTTAAGGGCTGCTGTCGGGATCAGGGGACTTCACGCGAGAAGGTTGTATATTAAGCAGGATAATTCGGATAACCATTTGCGGTACTCAGAGGCCAATGCTTGTCCTACGTATTAGATCCCCTGACCTGAGTATAATTTTAAGGAACACCTCAGGGCTGCAGGGACTGTGTCTTGGTGATTAGATTGCGGCAATCAGCCCTTTGGAAGAAGCGGCATGCTAAACGTCTTTCGGCTATAGGGTTCAGGGAGGGTTGAGAGAGCACCAAAGGGCTGACTGGCATGCGCACTGGGACTTCCATTGCGTTGTTCTGTGCCGCTGATGATGCTGTTATTGCTGCTGCCGCGTGCTGATCGCGGCTACTGTTATCAGCACCATTGCCGCCACTAGGAAGACGAGGACGACGATGCTGTTGTCGAAGTTGTCGATATTGGTCTTACAGATTTGCTTCTTGTCGCATCTATGGACAGCTTTCTCCATCACCGAAGTGCCTGACGTGCTTCTTGCTGTTGCGGCTGTTGATACTACATGGAGCTTTCCGAATATAGTACCCTAAGTAGTAGGATCCTAATTTGCAGGACCCCCAAATAAGGTACCCCTTATTGGCGGAAACTCCCATTTAGAACGCAAGGCCTGGCTGCTGCTTCATGACATGAATGTTGCTACAAAGGCCCCGAAGTACAGGCAATTCGCCCCGGTGACAAATAGGAGACAATGGCATATGAGAGTTTTCAACAGGAGCCCTAATACAGACCCCAATCACAAGGATGAGTCATACCAGCAACCCCTTTCCCTCCCCCCCCCAATTTGCGAACCCCCCCCGGTTTCGAGCATATGCACCCCGAACGCCGGCTCGTATGAATGCAGGGGAGTTTTGGTGTGGTTATGTAGAGTGTGCTTGTACCCGACCTCAGTCAGTAGGTAATAAATTTGGATGGGCTTACCTGGCCGAACTGGGGGTCAAGGGCTGTTCAGGCCTCCTATAAGGGATCTATAGGGGCCTTAGTAATTACCTGTAGCATTCCTTAGAGTCCCTTTAAAAGAGTCTAAAAGGCTGGGAAAGAAGGAGACTTGTGAAAGACAGCCAAGGTGCAGTACAACATTCAGAACAAGAAGCGCCGCGCTTGTGATGACTGTTACAGACGTTGGCTCGTGTGCGGTATCTAGCAGGAGGTTCACTATGAGCGGGACCCCAAAAACATAGCAACGGACGACAATTTGGATCGAACCCCATGTCAGTGTCCCCAAATCCGTTGATAATACTAGTACAGCTGGTGGTACAACGGTACAACTCTTATGCAGCAACAGGAAGAGAGAGACGTACATATGAGTATTTTTCAGTTTTGTATAGTGATGGTATATTATAGTAGTATATTATAGTATATTATAGTATACAATAGTACATACCATGCTGGTAGATCGCCCCATTTGTCGACACGTCGACTTGTTGAGGCCCCTGAAGACCCTGCAGAAGCTTGCTACACCTGCGAAGTTGCACTCCGAGCAAAGCGATGTAGCCCTAGTGCAACCTGCTTTATATGAAACCCTGTGCACTACTGGAGCTATCCTCCTGTGGAGAAGTTTGTGTCACGGTCGAATAGACTTTTGAGAGCAATAAACTACTGCGTGCATGCGTGCACATGCTCTCACATAGGCCGGTGTATGATGCCCGCGTCTGGATTTCCTTGTTTGTGACTTGGTATAGTTTCGCATAGTTGTGAATATTCTCTGGGAGCGACTGTCGATGCAATGCACCAGCAACCAGCCCCCAAGACTCGTATCACTGGTGATGACGGTAAACAATAAGAAGATGCTAACGATGAGTGCGGTGATGTTGCTTGCTGAAACTGCACCTGATGCTGCTGATGCACCTCTTGGCAATATTTGACAAAGGCCATGATGTTTCAGTGTAACAATGCTGAAGACTTAGTAACTGAGTGGATATTATCCCACCATAAAACTAAAAGTGTACACTTTTTGGGGCTTATGAACTCATTAGCTAAGAAGAGGAGCTTCACTGCACAGCTGAAGATAGTCCAGAAGCTGCCGACCGGTGCTGCTGCTGTTGATCAATTTTGTCCAGCATCGCTATGAGCATCAGCTGTAGCAGCATGACCGTCAAGAACGTTAGTATGACGGCCCCCTTAGTAGGGCATAGTTTCCTTTGTCAGAAGTGGCGACGCACATGTAAGCTGAGACACAAAAACCTAATATATAGGGGCCTAAATAATCGCCAATACTATTTTGGGGGCTCCTTACTATAGTTGTACACGGGCCCCAAAACCCTATTCTAATCATTCAGGGCCCTATAGTAACTCTAGGGTCCAGGTACTTAGCCATCACATGGGGAGCTACTCCCTGCAATACTGCTCTGAACTTACTGCAATCCCGGGAGTCAGCCCGGAGCCAGGCTGCGAAGATAATGCAACAGAGTGGCCTGGCTGACTAGCAAGAGGAGTGGCCAAGAATAGGTAACGGTACTGTTCCGTAGGATTTCTATTTTCACGATACTACATCCCCAAACCCTGGTCGAATCAGTAAGGCCCCAATTCAAGTTGTATATGCATCTGCCCATATATGCCCCAAAAACCTCAGTCTTCTGATTAGGGCCTCCTACGTACGGGAAGCAGGCTGCTCAACGTCTTCCATGCGAACTGGGCAGTCTCCTGGGTCCAGCCTGAGCCCCGTCTTCTTCCAGTATTCGGATGTGATCGGGGTTGGGGGTTAGGATTCAGAGGTTTAGGGTGTAGGGTTTTGGGATTTAGGTGTAGGGCTTTCATGTTTCAGGTGCCTGTGGTCTGTTGAGGACGTGGATTGTCTAGGGCCTGTTTGGCACGGGCTCAATTTGCGGGTTTCGACATCATGAGCTCAAAGCTTTTGTTCGAGGTATGTATAAAAACTTTCCGGTGGTTGTTGCACGGGTGTTTGGAGATTGAGACCGCAGAGAGGTCGGAAGAGTTTTCCTCACACCTTCCTGGGTTTTTGTTAAAGGATTTAAATTAAGCTACCATAATAAGGAAGCCATGTTATTTACTATAGATCCCTATTCTGGTAACTTAGACTAAACTCCCAGGAACCCAGATAAACTCCTTGCTGACACTCTTTGAGATGCCAAGGAAGGCTCATGATCTGGAAGAGCGGCCATACAAGGATATCATAGGAGGCCAAAAAGGGTTTTAGCCTATGGGGATTTAGCAGGCATTAGGGTTCCCATAATAGGCCCTACCCCAAGAATCTTAAACCCCCCTTTTGGCCTCCCATCAGCATACTGATAAAAGTTTATGAGGATAGCATGAATGATGCTACTAGGGCGAGAAGTATAAACAAAAGGAAATGATTCAGACATCGAATAGCTGAATCTAAACCGGTTGATACTGCCAACTGTGAACTTCAATTCGTCAGGGGACTCAGCAAACGAGTCATCGGGAGGTAAGCTCCAAACCCGAAGCCCTAAACCCCTGAACCCCTTCTGCCCCAACCGTCAGCTGGCTGCAGGCTGGCCGCTGGCATCCCAATTGCCTTGTTCATGTGGAGCACTGGACTCGTCAAGGCTTGAAACACTGTAGCAATGGAGCATAACATTCAGAGTCTATGGTCAGCAGATTTATGGATGCATTGTGGAGAGACAGGGTGCACCCTCAACCATGAAGCCTGAACCCTATACGCGCAATTCTGAATCCCTCAGCCCTAAGCCTAAAGTCTACACCCTGAACGTAAACCTCCAAGCCCTAAACCCTAAGCCCTAAAGACAGCAAAAGGAAGGAACACCCTGGAAGTTCCATTTATAGTAGAAGCCCAAAAGTTGGAAACCTAATAGCCTCAATTCTTAAGAGTAATGTATAGGGAATTCTAGCATCATTTGGCCTCAATCCGGTTTCCAACTTTATGGAGTTTACTATATGGCAAGAGCACTAGGAATTTTTGCAGCAATCAACGCCATAATGGCAACGATAGTTTGCAATAGTAGAATACAGGCTAGGAATATCTATAGTTGTGCTGTCTAGTCTCATGAGTAAATGTACAAATATCTATCTTTTTGTGTGTGTGTGTTTCAATATATATATATATATATATATGTATATTTTTTTATTTGTTTATGTACGAGCATAACACGGAGAGCAACAATCATACGCACAATCCCTAAACCCCAGGCCGTAAACCCTAAAAGAAGGCCGACACGAAAATCCGAAGGCTCCGAAAATTAAACCTTAAGCCCTAAATCCCAAACCCCAATAAAGCCCTAAACCCTAAACTCTAAACCACAATATTTGCCTAAACCCCTAAGCCCTGAACCCTCAAAATTCCCGAAACCTTCAGCCCAAGCATCTCAATCTGGGTTCTTCTTACAGGATTTAATGTAAGTTACGTTACCGTGAAGGAAACCATAATATTACGGTTGATGATATAAATCCTGCATTACCTTAAGGACCCTAAACTCTGGGAATTATGGTATATTCCTTATTATGGGTAATGCAGGATGTATATCATCAACCGCATTACCTATAGATCCCTATTATGAGAACTTAAAATACGTAAATTCCCCATCAAGAACCCAGCAATCCGAAGGCTCCGAAGATGACCGGCAGCGACTACGCGAAGCTGGCGCCCGTGGGAGCCGCTTTCGCCGCGGGCCAGGTGCCTCCTTAGGGTTTAGGGCTTAAATTTAAAGTAAAAGCCAGAAAGTTGGAATATGATTATCCTAACCCCTTTATGGTAAATTATAAGGTATCCTACCCTGAAACCATATTCCAACTTTCTGGAGTTCCCTTTAGGGTTTAAATTTATGGCTTCTACTGTATACTACCCAGAGATCCCAATACCCCTTAATTAAGGAATATACCTGAAACCATAATCTTAAGGCCCCTATAATTTAAGGTATATTCCTTAATTAAAGGATATTGGGATCGCTGAAAGGAGAAGCCATAAAGTTGGAACGTCCTTATCAAAGGCGCCCTTAAGGTAAAGCATCCGGATTCCCAGCACTAATCATCCTAATTCCACGTTCCAACTTTTCGGTGTTCACTATGAGAGGTGGAAATAACAAGCAATAATATCAATTTAACCGTTGCGTTAAAGGGGTTTGCATTAGGGCTTAAAGGGTTCTAGATGCGATCAGGAAACTAGTATGTCAGGTTGTTCGATGCTTTGTGGGAGCTTAGAGGGTGTGAAAGCGTCTGCTGAGAACCGTAGAGTCTACGCACCAGGCCGCTGAATCCATACACACGTAATACGGGGGTCTGAACAAGTACCGTTACTATTCCTGACGGCTCCATCATTCTTCTGAGGCTATAAACCATGAATACCAAACCTGATTCTAAGGCCCCTGCAATAAAGCCGCAGGCCTCTCAACCCCTTTTCTTAAACATCCTTAGCCCTTCGCAGGTGGCCACTGTGGCCTCTCTGGGAGCCGTGGCGGTGTCCTTCACCCATGTGGTGAAGGCAGTGCTTGACATGCAGGGATTCTACTTAAAGGGTCATGGGACTTAGTAACTAGGGTTATTATTAGGGTAACTATACTTATAACCGCAATGAGGTCACTTATGACCGTACTTAGTAAGTCCCATGATCCTCCAAGTAGGTAGTGGGGATCAGGGCTGTTCCCGTCGAGGGGGTTTGTGTTCTGGTAAGGTTTTTAAGTCAAGGGTTTGGGGCTCCCCGTGTGAAGGAAGATTCCTCATACACGTCATAAGCCGTCCTATACAAGGCAACCTTTTTTCAGGGGCTTTGGAGTCTCTGGGCTTAGTGACGCCCTTTTGAGGACCTAGGCAACAGCTTGTGAAGACGCTAACGACACCCTTGCAACCGCCCATACAATGAAATCCGTACCAAACTATTGGTACTCTCTCTTGGTCCTCTTTTGGTCCCAAACCGCGAACACGACACCCCAAACCATAAGCCCGACATCCCGAAAAACCCGAAACCCCAGCACCCTTAAAGGAATCCTTAGCGGAGCCCTTAAAGGAGCCCTTACTGAAACCCCGTCAAGGAAGCAACCCCAAAGCCCCAAAAAAAGCCTACTACAGAACCGTAAGCCCGATAGACCCCGGGAGCCCATCAAAGAAGGAATCCTTCGCCCCAAGAAGTCCTACTATCGAACCCCAAACCCCATTCAAAAGAAGGAGCCTTAAACCCTAATGTATAGAACCCATATGGGAGTTTCCGAAATTAGGGGTACCTTATTTTGGGGTCCTTATAATAAGGATCCTACTATTTAGGGTGCTATATTGGGGTCCCCTGTTTTCGGAAACTCCCATATAGATCTGTTAAAGGAACCAAACGGCCCTATTGTAGAACCCTCAACCGTAACCCCCAAAGAAGGAACCCCATAGCCCCAAGAAGTCCTGGCACAGAGCAGGAGCCCTCAAAAGAAGGAACCCTTAAACGAAAAAAGAAGGAACCCTTAAAGCCCTAAAGGAACCCTTAAAGCCCTCAAGGAACCCCTTAAGGAAGAAGCCCTAAGCAGCGCGCCCAAAAAAAGTTCCCCTGGCCTCGCTTGTCTTACCTTTGGTTAGTAGGGAATGGAAGACTGGTAGTAATAGTAGTTATAATTGTACCCCATTCCTCCATTCCCTACTAAGCAAAGATAAGTTGTCTGCAGGCCCTGGAGCCAGCCGTGAACGCCATCGCGTCTGCCTTGGTCCTCGGGCAGGCGCTCTTTTGGCTACTTTTTGAGGAATACCTAGGGTTCCTTTAAAGGGATCCTTAAGGGTTGCTTTAAAGGGATCCTTTAAGGAATCCATAGGTTTTAGGGTTTAAGTGGGTTCAGGGTCTTTCATAAAGGGCCCAAATACTTACCAATACTACTTTGGGGGGGGGGTCCTTATTATAGTATAATGAGCCCTGCTCATGGGTATCGGTTTTTTAGGGGTATAGGGGTATAAGGGCTATAAGGGTTTAGGGTTTCAGGTTCAGGGTTTACGGTTCGGTGTTTAGCGTTTGGGGTTCAGGGCTCATGATGTGGCTCATGGGAGTTTGAGTCGGCTTCTGTAAGGGCTGCTAAGCCCCGATGACATCTACGAGTTCTGTTAGGGGTACCTTATTTTGGGGTTTTTTATGGTAGGAATCCTACAGCTTAATTTAGGGTATTGTATTAGCTTCCCCAATTTTGAGAATCCCCCATATCTCGCCGTAACGGAAGGGGTTGCCGTCCGGCTCACCCTTCACCCAAAAACTTGACGAAGTGGTGTGTCTGACGGCGGTACTGGGGTTTAGGGTTAAGGTACTGGATGCCAGGTGTTTCTTGCTGCGCTTCTTGTAACCCCATTCACACTCAATGTGGGAGTTTCCGAGAATAGGGGACCCTAATATAGTACCCTAAATAGAAGGATCCTTCCTGTAAGGACCCCAAACGAAGGTACCACTAATTTTCGGAAACTCCCATGTCAGGTGTGTTTGCTGTTGCCTTTTTTAGGGCTGAGGGATGACTAAGCGGCCGAGGGATTGGGGCAGGGCAGCAAGACTGTGCCTTAAGGCTCCTCGGCCAAGACGAAGGGCCCAAAGCATCCCAAAGCAGTGAGCTTTAGGACGAATATGTACCTTCATCGTTAGAATGGGCGGCAAGGGGTATATTATGTTGTGATTTTTCGGCAAAAAGGAACCCAAGCAGTGCGTGGTCATGAATGCCCCCATAGTCGCCGAGTAGGTAGCCTTCCCCTTCTACCCTGGACCCTCAGACCTATTGTTGGTCCGTATTGCATTCCTATAAACTTAGGAAGAAGCCCAGTCATGCTTCCTTGATCAAACCTGCAGCCAGGTGTTCCACCCCATGGTCTACGCATCGCTCCTTCCCGCAACTTGGCGAGGGTGAAGGCGAAGGGCCTCTGGAACTAAGGGGCATCTGGTATATGATACAATAGGTTGTTCTCTGCGTGATATGGAATATTAGAGTATGCTTTAGCATATTGTCGAATCAGAAAAAACTTGGTTACAGTCACGATTTCTTTCATAGGGATCTCCCACAAAAGCGCATATTTTGCCAGCGAGAATCATAGGGATGAGTTCCCGAACCTGAGATGCCTTGGGGGTGTGGCTCTGCCTCTCAGGAGCTAGCAGAGGGGCCTCACTGATTGGACATGGGTCTGGGGGTATCCCATCGTATACTTAGAATTATTAAGGAACCTTGGAGGAATAGTATTGCTAGCTACTCAGGCCTCTATGTTGCACCGCAAATTTGGTCCTGATTAGGGTGGGAGATAGGTTTGTATTTAGGAGCCATACTCTGAATTTTGACTCTATGGCTTTAGGCTTCTATTACATCAGCCACTTCGGTGTAGAAAAGCACATGAAATCTGCTGCAGATCGCCTTTTTGCGGTCTTTGAGACGTATGTGAAGATGGCAAAGGCGCGTGGTCGCGACATCGTGGAGATCTCTGATCTCCGCGACGTATTGGTCCAAATCAATGCGGAGCAACGCCGCCGTGACCCGACGGCACCCTTCCTGGTTGTTGGACAATGACTCAAAGAAGGTTCCCGGGAGCGAACGGTTCAAGATGACTGCGCCAACCTTGTCCATCACGAAGACATATTGTCTCAGCTCCACGCCCGTGCGCGCACCCATTCGCTTTGGGGTCAAGATCTGTAACCATGTCTTTTCTTCGATGGCTACTGCCTCGGACATCAGCGCACATGTCATCTCGAATCCATCGGAAGACGGTGCTGCAGACTATCGACGTGGCTTTTGGACCGAGGCTGGCTGTGCTCGGTGGGACACCAACCCGAAGCCTTTGAAGATCAGGACAGAGACGACTTTGACAAGACGCCAGAGTGCGCAGCAAAGTCTCTTGCCTTCGGGGGCTGACAACAGGTATCGTCTTGTTGACAGCGGCAGTCTCATCGCGAAGCGCCTGCGGCAAGCTGAAAGGCGAAAGGCGAGGCTCAGTGACAAGAAGCGGCTTCTGGAGTCCTCGAGCTCGAGCTCCAGCAGTGCCGACAGCTCGTCCAGCAGCTCGTGAACGCTGTGCAATAAAAATGAATCCCTTTAGGGTTTAGGCTTAAGAGTTTAGGGATTACAGTTGCATCCACAAGCATCTTCTGCCGGTCTCCGGTGGTCTAATGGCGGTTTCTGAATGGTCTCCTGATATATAGTCTTGCTGGTCGTGATGGTCAGGGCTGCTAAGGTGCTCTGTCACGCTTTGCGGCGCTCTGCCTTTAGAGCCTGTCAGGGCTAAGCTTATAATAGAAAAGGGTCCCGGCATGCTGATAATCGTCCTCATAGGCCCAAATGCAGTTCGTGGAAAACCATAACACACTCACCAGTTTGCAGCGTCCATTAGCCCAAACAAGTAATTTAAACGCCACTTCATGTGCCCTCAGGTAGCACTAGGCAGCAGCTCCTACGAGTCTGCTTCACACTACACCCCGAAACCGTGGCTTTGTGTACGCAGACCTCTAACCTGCTCAACAAAAAGCTTACAAAACGACACCAAGAAGGCTACATCGCTAGTGCCCCAGTTTAAGCTTATGTGAACGGACCATGCGAAGCCCGGAGGCCCAAAGCACTAGAATCAGTCTAACAGAGGTCTTCGCTGGTGTGGCGTTGGCATCGTCCAAGGAGAGCCTCCTCATAGGTAACATTAGGTCATACTTATACTATTCCAAAAAACCTATTCGACCCCTGTAGTTGTTATGCTTTGAAGCATGCGGCTTCCCTATGCAGATAGTCACAGTGAATGACTTGGGCTTCACAAAACCCTAACCCTACTCATGCAGTCGCTGGGTTTTGCCGATTGCCCTAATGATGTTTTATATTGACCCTGTTGAGCTTAAGAGAATGCCATGTTGCATTTTTTAAATTGCCTCAAGGGGCCAACCCAGTTCTGCCTGGTATTGGAAGGGTTAAGGAGCCGGTCGGGACGGCTGCCCCTCACACCAAGCTAATACAGAGGCCTCGGGATTCTACGTGGGACTATATGGGTCCGGCAGGGATTGACCAAGGTGCTCTTATCATGAGAATGAGGCTTTGGGGTACTACAGTGAGATGTACAAGTGGTTCATTTGAGGTACACCCTGGCAGCAAAGACTAAACTTCAAACAGCCTGCTATTAATCGCTTCAGTGTTTAGGGTCTACTTGGAGGATCATGGGACTTAGTAACTAGGGTTACAAGAAAGCTAACTACAGCCATACTTACCTGAAATCCCAGTAAGTGCCCTTACTAAGTCCCAGGATGGTAAGACCCTGAAGATTCCATACCTGAAGTCTTCCAGCTACTTGAAGAAGCGTTCAGAATGCTACGGTTGATGATATACATCCTGCATTACCTTAAGGACCTTAAACTATGGGAATTATGGCATATTCCTCATTATGGATAGTGCAGGATTTATATCATCAAGCGTATCCCCAGTGCATTTGGGGCATAAAAATCTGGAGCAGCGCTGCCTAGCCTTCTGGAAAGCATACCATCAAACACATTCTTCGCATGATGTCTTCAAGAAGTTTGATGTTGAGCAACTTCTTGCATAATACAAATACTGGTTCATGGCGACGAAGGCACTGGATCAAAGTCCCCAGTATGCATCGTCAACTGGCAAACAGTTTGAGGCTACGAAACCGAGAAGACGAAACACCTGAATTCTGGAGGCTGCTTTTCGCATTGTTCTGCCGCCAGCAGTACTCCTCGAAGATCACGAAGTGTTGCCCCTCCGAGCACCCTAAGCCCTGAACCACCATAGTAGCCCCTAAAGATCCCTGTTAAAGGGACCCATCAACCCATTCCGAAAAACGGGTCAGATCACGCCTTGACCCTAAACCCTAAACCCGAATCTCTAAACCCGAAACCCTAGACTCTAAACTTTGGGGGTGGGTTCTTACTATAACTATAGCTATATATATATATACATATGCCCAAAAACCCTACACGTATCCTAATTATTGAGGCACTTGTATTAAGCCTCCGACGGATCCTTACAGGATTCCTTAGAGGAGCCCCTAAAGGAGCCCTTATGGGTTCCTTTGAGGCTTCCTTCAGCGCTCCTGGAGGGGTTCCTTTAAGGGTTCTATAGGGCTGCCTTAGGGGTTTCTTAGAGGATGTCTTTGAGACTCCAAAACCGCTGTAGTTGAGAAAGATACCTTAAATCAAGCATCCTGTGAACCCCTTATTCGTTAAGGGCCTATCCCCTCATTAAGGAACAGACCCTGAAGCATAATGAGGATTCCCTAAATAGTAGGATCCTTAGCCTTATCAAGGCCTTACTATGGGTATTAAGGCCCCTACCCCCCTGCCCGTTACCCCTCCCTTAAGGGTCCTTATGAGAGTTCGAGAGGAGCTGTCCTTCACCATGCCACGGGCCCAGATGCATGCAGAAAGCAGAGCTAGGTGTACAGAGTTTAAGGGTTTAGGGTTTAAGGGTTGCTTGGTTTAGGGTTTAGGCTGTAAGGGTTTAGGGTTTAAGGGTTGGTTGGTTTAGGGTGTACGGGTTTAGGGTTTAAGGGTTGATTGGTTTAGGGTCTAAGGGTTTGGGGGTTAACGGTTTGGGGGTTTCGGGTTTAAGGGGTCTAGGCAAACAAGGTAGCTACAGCTGTAATTGCTGACATCTCCCATTAAGGTACCCAGTAGTACTGATATCAAGCAAGGTAGCTACGGCTGTAATCGCCGATATCTCCCATGAAGGTACTTATGACCTTACTTGCTAAGTCCCAGGATCCTCCAAGTACGTCACTCCGAAGTACCCGCACTTGCCGTCAATATCTCATTCTCAAGGTTACTTTACCGGAGAACTTAGATATGAGAAGAACAGGAAGCGACAGTTCGGAGATGGCAGCCATCCTTTTTTATGGGCTTCTTGTTTTATTGATCAAGACTTTGGTGTCCTGAGAATGAGAACAAGGATCATGTGGGATGAGGAGGGCATACAGTATGCACGGGCGTTTAGGGGGCTTGAATACGCTATCTAAACCCTGAACCCCTTTGTCATGCTAGTGGCTCGGGACGAGGCCTGCGGCTTCAGAGATGTTGTTGGCATATCGGGGGCCGCTTGAGTTTCACACAGGCTCTATTCCTAAACCCTAAACCCCTAAACCCTAACTCCTGAAACCCTTAACACACCCTAGACCCCCTGTGCTGAAAGACCTTGACTCGACCGTAGGAAAGAAGCTTGACCACAGGAGTTATGTGCAGCGTTAGCATAGCAGCATAGCCCCTACGTGACAAACGCTGGCTGTGGAGACTGCAAGCTGCCCTTTGTGCCCCTTCACGAGGGCATCCTGCAGGAGGTCAAGGAGAAACTCTTGTGAAACCCCTTCAAAAAGGGCAAGTTGTCAGTGTATCCGTTAGAGCTGGCCTCAGACATCAGCAACCTGCACGGGGTGGAGGTTTAGGGTTTAGGGATTAGGGTTTAGGGTTTAGGGATGTTTCCAGGGGGGCACACCGGAACAGAAGGCAGAGGGTTCCGACGCCTGCTCTTGAGCATGCCGCTTTCTGCCTCTTTTGCGGACTGCACTCAGGAAGTGCCTCTTGCGTTTCGGCAGGCAATCGAGCTTCCTGCGAGCCGAATGCACATGGCGTCAGGACACCACAGGTACTATAGGGGGCTTAAACAATTGCCAATACCATTTTGGGGGTTTCTCATTATTCTATTTATAGCATAGTGGGCCTCAATACCCTATTCTTCTAATTCTTGAGGCCCATATATTACACGAAAGCCAACGTGCTAAAAGACCAAAAGGATGCCTTCGACATGACTGGTTTCCATTGTAAGTGGTCTACGTTGATGGACCAAGAACCCTTCCCTACGAGAAGTCGCGCCGCTCTGCATGGCGTTAAGTTTTGTCTGCATGTCATGTTCCATGGACCAAGCCTGAGTCTATCATGAAGCCGTTCCCATGCGATGTTTGAAGGCGCTACATCTTTCGTCTCCTTATGCCCCAAAACCCCTACAGTAGAAGCCCAAAAGTTGGAACCCAAAAGCCTCATTCCTGAAGACTAATATATAATAAGGAATCCCCGCACTAGCTGTCCTTAATCAGGTTTCCAACTTGTTGGGGCTTGCTGTACCCCAAAGCGTGCTCCCCAGGAGTGCTCTCTTCTAGGTTCCCCTTCAGCCGTGTATTCACCACACCCGAAACCCGAACAATTTGTACCCAGCAAGCCCAAACGGGAGTTTCCGAAAGTAGGCGACCCTAACATAGTACCCTAAATACCAAGATCCTTATTATGAGGCCCCTAATTCTCGGAAACTCTAAACCCTTATAGCCCTTTAAAAAGAGACTCTTATAGAACCCCTTTGAAGAACCCTAAGGTACCAGCTAATTTTCGGAAGCTCCCGAAAGACTGATCTCTCCCAGGTTTGGCTTCCTGACGGCCATGGCATCCAACTTCTTCTTCGTCATCTGACTTGAGCTGTGGGAGTTTCCGAACATTATGGGTGCCTTTAAAGGATGAAAATAAGCGTACTATAGGATTCTTTTGACGGGCTCGATAAGGGTTTAGAGTTTCCGAAAATTAGGGGTACTGTATTTTGGGGTCCTTCTAACAAGGATCCACTATTCAGGGTGCTACAAAAGCGTCCCCTTTTTTCGGAAACTCCCGTCGAGTCATAAGGCCCCAGGGGCCTTATATAGCTTAATCACTCAAGGCACTTGGAGGATCATGGGGCTTAGTAAGTAAGGTTATAAGTACCCTAATTGGGGTTATAAGTAACTATAACTATAGTTCCCCTATGTATAACCCCAATTACTAAGTCCCATGATCCTCCAAGTAGAATGCCAGGCGGTTTGTGGGTTTGGAGGTTTTGAGAGGCGGTAATCCCCACTGTGACCCCACTTAGATTAGCCAGAACCACTGACTAACTCCCCTGATTGCACAAGTTAGGTTGGGATAGTTTCAGGCTGCACATATCGTAGAGTCTAGAGGATCATGGGACTTCGTGACTAGAGATTTTACTTACAACCCGAAATACGGTACCTAAATCTTACCTACTAAGTCCCATGGTCTTGTAAGGATCGCGGGCTTTGAGGTTTTTTGATCGTTTAATGTTTGGGACTGAGGAGCTTCAGGGAAAATGGGAATGAGGAGAGCCGGTAAAGGCGCCAAAACACAGTTTCATTAGCTTGCAACTACAAGCTCCTAGCTTAGGAATTAACAATATTTTCATTATGGTTCTAAGGAGGGCAGAGACAAAGAGACACCCTAAATCGAAAGCTTCGGAAGCCCAACAGTGTTCCCTTGGAGCTTCAGAGTAAAGAAACTCCGAATGACTCCAGGTGACCCGAAATGTCCTCGCCACGAAGTTCGGCGATGTCGGTGACATGGGCGAGGTGCGCAAGTGTGGGTGTTGGGATCTGTGTGGGGATGTACTTGGAGGGTCGGGTGACTTACTACGTAGGTCTTAAGCAGAGCTACTTGGACCCTAAAGAACCTACCTTTTTAGGGTTCTCTATTCTGATTCCTATATAAAAGTCCTTAAAAAAGGTAGCTTATTTGGGGTTACCCTAAGCGGGCCACAATCGTGCTTTTCTGTCTTTCTACTACGTCCCCCGACCCTCCCAGGGGAACTGGGCCATGGGGTCCTTCGGTTGATGATATAAATCCTGCATTACCCAAGGACCCTAAGCTATGGGAATTATGGTATATTCCTTATTGTAGGCCATGCAGGATTTATATCATCAACCGTTCCGATAATCAGCCAAGTGTTGCGCATCCTGCTAAAGCCCTTCTCCGTATGTGCGTGTAGGTATGGCTTCTTGCAAATGTGGCCGTAATCCAAACCCTAGTGTCGTTATAGGATGTAAGTATATTAATACATAGTCCAATATCCTGATGTAAGTATGGGAGCCCAATCAGCAGAACCTGTAAAACGCTTTTCGTTGTCCTCTTGACCCTTATTTTACGATTGCTGCGAGGACAAGACGCAGAGGAAGACCAACCAGCTGGCTGTGCTGACTTTCGTCGCCACCATGGTGCTTTGGCGAAGGGGTAAGTTGACTGTAAGTCTGTACGGGGAATTCATCATGTAAGTGGATGTAGGTGCCTGAATAATTAGAGCAGGTTTTGGCTCGCAGAGTCTAAGTATATCGGCACTTCAAGGGAAGCCCCATCAGTGAACTGAAAAACATGTAAGTTGTAAACATATTAGGCACCCTAAGAAGCCATGCTATTTCCAAAGGGATAGGGGTTAAAAAAAATTAAATAAGGATCAAAAGAAAATAAATAAGGATCAAAAAAACTTAAATAAGGATCAAAAAAAAACTAAACGGGTATCCGCGACAGGAAGGGGAAAAAGGAAGGAAAGAAAGACAGAGAGAGAGAGAGAGAAGGAAAGAAAGAAAGAACGAAAGAAAGAAAGGAAGGAAGAAAGAAAGCAAGGAAGAAAGAAAGAAAGAACGAAAGAAAGAACGAAATAAAGAAATAAAGAAACAACGAAAGAAATAAAGAACAAAAGAAAGAAAGAAAGAAATAAAGAAAGAAAGAAAGAAAGCCATGCAAGAAATAGAGAAATAAGTAAATAAAGAAAGCTAGAAGTAAAGAAAGAAAACAAAATAGATAACTAAGTAAATAAAGAAAGCTATAAGGAAAGAAAAAGAACACACAAGGAAATAACCAAAGAGAGTTAGAAACAAAAACAAAACAAGCAATGAAGAAATAACCAAAGAACAAAAACAGAGAAATAAAGAAAGACGGAAGGCCATAAATTAATAAAGAAAAACAGACATAGTTAAAGGAACAAGAAAGACGCGGAAAATAAAGAAGAACGATACGTAAGACTATCGCTTCAAAGAAATAAACAAAGAAAGAGAGCCATGCAAGAAATAGAGAAATAAGTAAATAAAGAAAGCTATAAGTAAAGAAAGAAAACAAAAATATAGAACTAAGTAAATAAAGAAAGCTATAAAAACTACGACATACTACACCTACAACCACAACGCCAACAACAACACTACTAGCAACAACTACACCACGAAATCCGTCCTAAATGCGAAATTGTAAGGAAATTTTGATTTTCCCGAGGAATAAGCTAGGTAACGTATGTTTTCCTTCGGAAAACCTGAAGAAATGACACGAACGCCGTAGGTAATAGGAAAATAGGCTTTTTCCTAGGAAAAACCAAGGAAAACTTAGAGAAATACAACGGAATCCGTAGGAAAATCGTGTTTTCCACAGGAAAAACCAAGCAAATCCTTAGGAAACGAAAGAAAATCACTAGGAAAGCAGTGTTATCCTTTGGAAAAATTCAAGAATTGCTGTATCTAAAAAGCAAGAAAGAAAGACAGAAAGAAAGAAAGAACGAGAGAGAGAACGAAAGAACGAAAGCAAAAACAAGAGGAAGAACGAAAGCAAGAACTAAAGAAAGAAACTTAAGGAAATACCACGGAATCCGTAGGAAAATCGTGTTTTCCCGAGCAAAAACCAAGCAAATCCGCAGGAAATGAAAACGAATCCGTATGAAAACAGTGTTTCCCCTGGGAAAAATTCAAAAATTGCTGTATCTAAAGAGGACGAAAGAAAGGAAAACAGAAAGATAGAACCAGAGAGAGAACGAAAGAACGAACCAAAGAAAGAACGAAATAAATCAAACCAGAAAGAAAGCAAGAAAGAAAGGAAGGGAGTATGAGATGAACAAAGAAAGAACAACAGAAAGAAAGAAAAGAAATGAACGAGCGAAAGAAAGAAAGAAGTCCAGAATAAAAAAGCAAAGTTGGAAAAGACGAAAGAGAAAGAATATGAAAGAATCACAGAAACAAAGATACAAGCAACAGGATACTACATAGTCCAATCGAATTTACCATAATATCGTAATGTACCGTAACATAATATATACATAATGTAACCTAATGTTATAAAATATACTACATATTATGTTGTAAATATACACACTGTATTGTACTATGTTACAATGTACTACACTATAAACTAAGATGTTGTTTTGTTCTATGTCATCTTCTGTTATATTGTATTGTTGTATTTTTAGTATGCCATTATATGCTATAAGAAGCAAGGTTCAGTCATGTCAGAAAATGTCACACCATTTTTGTGTTGTCGAACAATCTTATGTCGTTCTTCTGGTTTACTATGTTATGTATATATTAGGTTAGAATGCTAACGGAAGAAGAGACACGAACAGGCACGGAAGAACAAAACACCCGCCGCCGCGCTTTTCGAGACGTGCAAGCTTGATTCAAAGAGTGTTCTCGAAGCCCATCATGTGAGCGTTGTCTCTGCAAATGGGGGGGGCTGCGCCCCCCCCAACCCCCCCGCTGTTTTAAGCCGTGCAGGGTTGCTTTGAAGCATATGCCTCTTTTTGAAACCCAGCAAATGAGGGCGTCTCCGCCCTTGTAGATACATGCTGAACCAGAATCGCCAAATGAGGGGCGTGTTTAAGATAGATGATGAAGCGGAATACCAGCAACATCTACAACAGGAAATCCGTCCTAAATGTGAAATTGTAAGGACAATTTGATTTTCCCGAGGAACAACCATATGTTGTCCTTCTGAAAACCTGAAGAAATGAACCGAACGCCATAGGTAATAGGAAAATAAGCTTTTTCCTACGAAAAATCAAGGAAAACCGAGGGAAATACCACGGAATCCGCAGGAATATCGTGTTTTCCAGAGGAAAAACCAAACAGATCCTAAGGAAACAAAAGAAAATCCCTAGGAAAACAGTGTTTTCCCTTGGAAAAATTCAGGAATTGCTGTATTTTAAGTGATTTAAATTTTTTTGATCCTTATTTTAATTTTTTTTTGATGCCTCTGCCCCAGGAATTGCTGTATTTGTGATTTAATTTTTTTTTGATCCTTATTTTAATTTTTTATTGATCTTTCCATTTAATTTTTTTTGATCCTTATTTAATTTTTTTTTGATCCCTCACCAATATTTCCAAAGATGCCAACCTCGATTGGGACAAATCCAGCACCGTTTACCCCAGACCCTTTAAACCCTAAACCCTCTAAACCCTAACCCCTAAACCCTAAGCACGTCGACCCTAACCTTTGCAACGAAAACCCGAAGATGCAAGAGCGCCCAACCCCGAATCCCCAACACCAGAAGGCTAAACATCCGGGGGTTTAGGGTCTAGGGTATAAGGTTTAGGGTATAAGGTTTAGGGTATAAGTATAAGGTTTAGGGTATAAGTATAAGTTTTAGGGTATAAGTATAAGGTTTAGGGTATGCAAATTGGTCAAATTGTTTCATAAGCCACTAGAATTTCCGCAGCCAATACAAAGTTATTGCCTTGCTGTGCTCGAAACCTTGGAACCCCGTGGAAGCTCCTGCCTTGGGTATAAAACTGTTGAGACCTACTTGCAAGTTTCAGAAAATTAGGGGTACCTTGTTTTGGGATCCTTATGATAAGGGTCCTACTATTTAGGGTACTATCTTAGGGTCCCCTACTTTCGGAAACTCCCACTTGCAGGATCAGGGACTTAGTAACTAGGTTCTACTGTTTGTTTATAGTTCCAATTAAGGTATTGAAAAACCTCACTGACTAAACCCATGATCATCCATCTACCCCCTTGCAGAGCGAGTACTATCACACTAAAGAGATGTTTGGGGGGCCTCCTCCTCCTCTCAGGTGCTCTTTCCGACATTACGCCACAAACCCTGAACCCCCAAAACCTCATCCTTGCCCTAAACCCGAAGCCCAGAGATCTTATGCCCCACACCCTAAGCTGATGGCCTAAAGCTCTGAAGACCCTCTCCTAACTTGGCCCGGGTGCTCCTTCCCACACCCTAAGGCATAACAGTGGGAATATATATATATATACATATACATATACATATACATATACATATACATATACATATACATATACATATACATACATACATACATACATACATACATGTATATATGTATACCTACCTACATACATACATACATATGTATATATATATATATACACACACATACATACATATATACATATTGTGTGTGTGTTTATGTGCATACATACATTGACTCGGCTCAGGTGCTCCTTCCCCTAGTGCTCTTCCTCCCTGGCGGCCTCCTCTCGATTCCCAGCGCCTGGAACGCCGGGCCTCGAGAGGGCGTCGGGTTTCTTCGGTTGCTGTCAGGGTTTGGGGCCGCAGGGTTTAGCGAATTGGGTCTAGAGCAAAGGGTATGCAGGTGTAGGGATTACAAACTTAGGGATTAGGGGCTTCGGGTTTAGGATTTAAACATTGTGATGAAGCCAAACCCTTTGTAGGGTTTAGTTTACCTTAAGCACTTTGTGTCTGGGTACTGTTGTCTTGCTATGGGCAGGTATGAGCATGGACTCCCACCCTTCATCCCTTTTGACCAGAGTGGTGTCAGCTCCCTTCCGCCGTTTAGTCAGCTTGGTTTTGGGTATCGGCCTTCAATGAGGTTTAGGGCTGAGGGTCTACTTGGAGGATTAAGAGACATAAGTATGTAAGGTTATGGGTACCCTACTTGGGCTTATACATAACAATTTAGGGGCTGCGCCCAGGTGCGGGCAGCGCGAGCTGTTGTCAGAAACCCGCGGTATATAGATAAGTGCAACGTAGGCCCGAAGTGCGCAAGTTGTGGGTGATCGTAGGCTCTCAGCCCCCGTCGGCCCTGCATGTAGCCCGCACCCCCCGTCCGCCGGACCCCGCTGATGCTCATGATGTGCGCCCTTTGGCGGCTTCCGCAACCCACTCAAAAACTTGGGAGTTATGACTTCGCGCCCACGTCGCGCAGCCGGCGCCGGTTGCGGGCGCCCGAGGGCTCATGATGCTCGCCGGCTCGCCTCCTGGGGTCGTCCACGGCGGCCCCGAAACCCGCCGCACCGCGGGGAATGGCTGCAAAATGCGTGCGCGTTCCGAGACGCCTTCGGGCCAGGCCCCGCGCGGCCCGAGGGAGAAACGAGGGTCCGATGATGCGGGGTCCGGGGCGGGTCGGCGGCACTGTCGGTCGTGGCTTCTGCTTCGCAGACGAAGCTCATTCGTCTGAGCCATAGCTCAGTCCATACAGGGCAGCGAAGCGCTGCCCGATTTAAGAGCCTCCGGCTCAAGCCGCCGACCCCGTGGGCGACAAAGCAGAAGCCGACTGCATCTGTACAGGAGCTATGTGGGGACCAGGGATGTGGGAAGCCACTTCTTGGCGCCGAAGGTTGAACCTTAAACCCTAAACCCCAAACCCTACCCCGCAACCCTAAACCCCGACCTTAAACCCTCAACCCCTACACTGAACCCTGACCCTCCAACTTCAGCCCCCTCAAACGGGGGGGGGGGAGGGGGGAAGGGGGGGGGAGGGGGGGGATGGTCTCCTACAGTGAACTGATTTGAACCCAATGGGCTGCGGTGTGATGCTTCTGGGGGTTTGGGTGCTGCTTGCAAACCATGGGGTACCACCCCCCCCCCCCCCAGGGGGCGCCCGGTGTGCGGGATTTTGGTTGGGGAGGAGGGAAAAAGGGAGGTTAACACCTCCAAACCCATCGAGACCCATCCAACACGCCGCCAGGGTCGGCGGATAACATAACCATGGTTACCCTGTATGACGGTTCCCCAAACCCTAAAGGGCAAACAAGGGTCTAGGGTGAGTAAGCTCCCACGCTTCACTTGAGACCTTCAGTGTCTTGGGCATTTCTCAGTCTCGATTCTGCTCTGCCGCGGCTCCGAAGCAATTAATATGATCGGCGGTGCGATTCCCCCGGCCCTGTAGACACAAACCGACACTGATCAGGTGAATTGTGCCGCGATTCGTCTGACCAACCATGAAGGGAGCAAGCTCGTGACCAAGCACTTCCGACTGGCTGATGACGGAGCACAGCTCCTGGAGGTCGGTGGCTGCTGCGGTCGCGACCAAACGAGAGAGCCAGGGGGATAAGTGCAGCAAGAAGCTCTGCCCATGCCTGATGACGGCGTGTGGGAATGCTTGAAGCCGAATCGGCCGGGAGCCGCGAGCAGAAGCAGCGATGTTAGACTTCATGAGACGATTATAAGAGTAGTTGTAGCGATAAAGGGCTTAGGGTTAAGGGTTCAGGGTTTAGTAGCCATAACATTGTAGGAATATGTTCACACACCCAAAAGCACCTTCGGTCACCTAAGGCTTTCACATTGTACATCTAGGAACACGGTCAATGATGGCGCCAAGCAAAAAGCGTAAGTGTCAGGTGACACTTCCTTCTTGGGGTACCGCGACCTGTTATGGCAAAGACGATAAAGGAAAACAAATACACGAACTGAGAGAGTTGGAGAAGCAAGAATGGTTATATACGATGACAAGCTCAGCACAAGTAGCATGCGATTACGAAAGAAAGGAACAGGCTGTTTGAAATGGGTCGCATTGCGTGCGAATGCCAGTTCATAATGATCCAGCCGTAGAAAGGCATGTCAGATGCGCTGATTAACACCATTTAGACCAGGCTTGAGGAGCAGAACGACATCTCGCAGTTATTGCCATTGTGTCTACCATCATTCGTTCGTTTTACGACCGATCTCTGCACCTACTCAGACCCCCGGGAGGATCCCAAAAGTAGATCCCTTAATGGAGGTTCCTATAAAGTACCCTTAGTAGTATAGGGCCGCAAATTAGGGGATCTACTTTCCAGATCCTCCAAAGGGGGTCTGGGTAGAGCCTAAGTTGTGACGCCCTAAGCCATCCTCAACCCGGAAGTCTGAATCCCAAAGCTCTAACCTTAGGGGTACTTAGAAATACTTTCTAATTTTTGGTTATCATAATCCTTAAGAAACAGCTAAAATTAAAATTTTCGCTAGGGTTCTAAGTTCAGTATAGTGAACTCTGAATCCCAAAGCTCTTACAGCACGCTTAGTCAAAGCCTCAGGTCAACCCTTCAGGGAACCCTTAGCAGGAACTTTGAAAAGGAACCCTGAAAGGCATCTTTACCACAAAGGAACCCTTCAAGCCTCAAAGAAACATTAAAAATCCCCAAAGGAACCACTAAAGGAAGTCCAAAAGGAAGCCTGAAAGGAAGCGATCTGTGGGCCTAGGCTGCCTTGGCCAAGGGCGTCTCGGCCAAGCAACTTGGGTCCAGCGCTCAGCTTTCTCCGAGTGGTTGAGGTTGAGATTTGGAATTTGAGGCTTGGGGTTTAGGTCCAAGAGTTAGGGTTTGGGGTTTGGGATTTAGGGTTTCGTTTAGGGTTTGGAATTTGCGGTTTAGGGTGCAGGAGTTTGGGAGCTCGTCTTCGAGGGCTTGAAGAGGTACGTAGTTCGAGAACTTTCCCCGGATTAATGTAGTTTACGTTGACACACCTACTTGCCGCGCTGAGGACGTTGCTGATGCCATTTTCGCCCTCTCCACGTCGCTGCTGACACTGCCAGCCGACGGCGCTCGCGAGGGCGGACAGGATCTTAACACAAGAAGCTGACAGCACATCGAGCCCATGTTGGCAAGAAGACAATCGAAGACCGGAAAAGGTCCAGCGGCTACCAACACCGGACAAGGCTGACTCGGAAGACGCCTCCCCTAATCTACAAGAACCTACTTTGTGTAGGGCCCCTATACAGGTGTATAGTCAGAACCCACAAAAAATAATCAGGCTTCGGCAGGTTAAGGGAATTATGCTTTCAGCGGAGAGCACGTACGACTTGTCAAGCTTTGCGACTTTACCGGTTGAAGTTGGTGCCTCTCTTCTGGGTAGTTGTCAAAATCATGGTCCTATTTTGGGTACGCCAAATTTTAGGTGCCGTACTATAATAGGGACCCCAACAGGGACCATAATTTTGACAACCACCCGTCTGGCGGTGCAGCTGCAACGTCCTTCGATCTTGATTTGGATCGGCCGTCACTGCTCCCAGCCAACACCGATGAGAGGGCTGAGATTCATGATTTGAGAGTTTCCGAAAATAAGGGGTACCTACTTTGGGGTTCCTTATAGTAAGGATCCTACTATTTAGGGTACTATTTTAGGGTCCCGACTTTTCGGAAACCCCCATTGAGCTAGCGGTTAGATAACCATCTGGCATTTGAGGTCGGGGAGGCCATTGCGAGCGCAGGTCCAAGGCAATAAGTTCATCCATGTTCGAGAGCTTCCGATGAGAAGTGCAACCATGCCGAAACCATAATCCCGTCTTGTTGCGAGAGCATCCGACATCTCGAGCATCCATGCATGCATGCCCAACCCCGGTAAGGCTCACTTGTGACAGCCTTTGAATGCCAGCATCTTATCCATGTTCGAAAGGACCCGAGCACCAGACCGTCGATCCATGCAGCCATACCATGGTGCATGTTCGAGAGAATCCGAAGACCTGCGCATTCATGCTCAATCCATAACACCGCTCCTGCTCCTTTGCGAGACCATCCGAGATCCAGAGCAGCCACGTAAATGCCTGAGCCATAAGGTCGTCCATGTCCGATCGAAACCTCGGCTATACTACCCTACTTTAACCCTGAATCCCCACAGTCACTCGCCGGGTACGACACCACATAAATACCATCAAAAAAACCCCACGAACCAAATCTTGTATCCTTAGCCCATGATACTTAGACGTAAGCCTAACAACAGTCAGTGCTTCAAGTTAAAGCAATTATAAGCTAAATCCCTAGAAGCTATGATGCGGACCCCGATTAATACACCCCCTCCCCTCTGTAAGGGGTATTTGGGGGGATCCTGGTACTAAGGACCCAATCCAAGGGAGTGCATGAATCAGTCACCCAAATTAGCGATTACTAAAAACCCTGATGCCCGAGCAAACAAAATCAACTTTCAATAACCGTAAAGCACAGCCTCAAATCCTGGACCTTGGAAACATCCCCAAGCCCAAATCGTTCAGACTGATTTCAGAGTAGAGCCCCATAACAATCACGGTATAAAACTCGGTTCAACCCAAGAATCTACCGCAACTCCCTGAAATGCAATCCATCTGAAACCCAAAGGTGAAGACCTTATTTGTCAGTCTATATTTATTCTTATGCACGCATTCCTTATTTAAATTTGTACTTATTCATGTCATGTTTGCGCTCACGATCACTATTATATACATCTTCCTGTCTCTCTCTTCATTTCTGCATTTACAGCCTAAAGCCTCAAAGCCCCCAGAGCCCTTCAGATTCATGCTCGCCGCCTCTGGGTTCCACTTCTTCATGTCCCTACCTCAGAGCGTAGCTCCGAGGTTGGCTTAGTAGCTGAGTGGATACACTTTGAATAGGGATGTATAGGGGTACCGTAAGGGTTTAGGGTGTAGGGTACGGGACTGAGCAGGCGAGGTTATAAGTACTGTAATTGGAGTTAGAAGTAGTTCTCGCTGTAGTTACTGTATTTTTAACCGTAGTTGCTAAGTCCCATGATTCTCTAAATACGCGCTGTGAAGGTTTTTAAATCTTTCGGTGTTGTGGGACGTTTTGGATTTAGGGGGTTGGATGCTCCGGGCCATAAGGCTTCACGAGTTCAGGGTGTTAAGGCTCCGGGGTGGGGAGGTTTATGATTTCACGACTAGAGTGTCAGAAGCTCAGATATTAGCGGTTTATGTCTTCGGGTGCTCAGGGTCTTAGGGTGTAAACGCCGAGGGGTTGAAGTGTGGTTTAGGCTTCCGGATGCGCAGTTTCCATTGGCCCGAGCCTGCTTGGAGGATCATGGGCCTTAGTAACTAGGGTTATAAGTACCCTAATTGGGGTTCTAAGTAATTACAACTATAGTTACCCTGTTTATAACCCCAATTACTAAGTCCCATGATCCTGGTTGGCGCTGCGACGGATGGGCCGCGAGCCCACGAAAAGCGCAGCCTGGCTTGAGGAAGAGGCCTGGCACTGGTCCAGACTATGCAGGCCATCATGCCGAAGACTGTGACCTACCGGAGGCACATCGGAGTTTCCGAAAATAGTCAATACCTTATTGTGGGGTCCTTATAATAAGGATCGTATTATTTAGGTTACCATATAGGGTCCCCTATTTTCGGAAACTCCCACATGGCTTAGCGGATCGCTGGGAAATGACAGGCGCAAAGGTGCCGCTGACAACTTGCCATCGTGGCGCAGCAATCGCTGTGGCCCCCCCTGAGCTCAAGCACACGCAAGGCGGCTGAAACAAGCGTGTGGTATCGGGACCTCCCATGTAGGAGAGAGATGAATGCATGAATGCACAAATGCAGTGGCGGAGTCTACGCTTGTTCGGTTCCCCGACCCTAACAGTCCGCACTCGAGACTAGCTAATCATGTAAATAGCCTTCCGTTGCTGAACAGGGTTTGGGTTCTTCTGCTTTTTCCTGTGAGGGCACTGTGTGAGTTCCTCCTCGTTCACCACCGCTGCTGACACCACCAGCGCTGGCGACTTCGCCGCGTGAGGCTTGACTGTTTCCGCTTCCTTGAGGCGCCTTTTGTACCTCGCATGGAGATATGCCTGCAACGGACAGATAGAGCTCTACACCACCGACGCCTCCAGAAGCATCGTTGGACAATGAACCACGACAACACCGACCCAAACCAATACAGAATGCGCTCGTGCCCGGAACAAGTCCTGCAAACGGACGAATGAAGGATTAGGTCATTGCTCAAGGGCACAATGGCCGTGAGTGAGTTTATAATGCGGGGCTTGGGGGACCTTCTTTTGGACTTAAAAAAGGAATTTCTTCAGGCTTCTATGCTACCTCTCGACGCCTAGAATACCAATAGCCTTTGAGGAATACAAATACGGCGGTAAGCAAAGTTGCGACAAAAACTCTGCTAGAATGCTTATTCGAATATGTTGGGGGAAGTCTCTGCATAATCACGCTCTTATGTACAATCATAGCGGCTATAACCGGCGGAACCTAGCCCTCGATGAACACGAGCCTCCAAAACCCCCGAACCCCTGCGCGCGATTATCCATTAGTCTGCAGGTACCAGCTCTCTTCATTCTGGGTCCTGTCCTGCGTGCCGCCTATCACCCACAGCGCCCGGAGCCTACTCACATCTGGCGAAAGAGTCGAAGCTCGCTGAGTTGGGTTTAGACTCTAGACTTCCGGGTATAAGGGTTCACCCAGTGTGCCATGTCCGCAGGGCTAAACAGAGAATGTACCCTGAACCCTAAAGCCCCTAAACCCTAAACCCTTAAACCCCTACAGTACCTAAGCCCTAAACCTAAACCCCTAAACCCTAAACCCCTATAGTACCTAAACCCTAGACCCCTAACTGAGCCACTGAGACCCCCTGAGATCCCTACAGCCCTCAAGGCTCCCCCACTACTTGGAGGATCATGGGACTTAGTAACTTTAAAGGGCTCCTTAAAGGGATCCATAGGGTTTCGTTTAGGGTTTAGGGTCTACTTGGAGGATCAGGGGACTTAGTAACTAAGGTTATAAGTACCCTAATTGGGGCTATAAGTAATTATAACTATAGTTACCCTGTTTATAACCCCAATTACTAAGTCCCATGATCCTCAAAGTATTTCAGATCGCCTGAGGGATCGATTGACAAGATTAGAGTCGCTACGTATAACTACGCTGCAGCATGCCCGACAAAGCCCTCTTCGAACTATTGGGCTCGTTGTTCTTAGAGTCTTAGAGTTTTCTGAGCCCGTAGTTCAAGATGACGCCGAGAAGTACATGCCATAAATCATAGTTAGATTCAACCGAGGTTACAAATCCCGATGAAGCCCTTGAAGGGGATTCCCACAGCTGCACGCATGCAAAACCCTATGTCGGTAGATGAGATTCCCATAGAGTCCAGATTTTTCAAGCCTCTAAACAATCGTGTGGACCCCTGCAAAGCTCGAACTTCTAATAGACGTGGAACGACAAGTAATATAGGGCCTTATTAATTAGGATGTGATCTTGGGGCCCGTTATACTATAATGATAATAATGAACCCCGAAACTAGTAAAGGTAATTATTAAAGCCCCTTCAGTATGTTAAGTAATTTGCCAATGCTACTTGCAACTCTGTCACTACGTCTCCTGATAGCCGTGGCGGCTGAAGGTAAAGACAAACTCCACGGCCCTAGCCCCAAGGCTTAAGTCCTCAATGAAGCTCACAGACAAAGCTGCAGGCAAAGCCACAAGTTGAGGAGTCAGAGGCTTAAACCTTCCAACGTTCTCTATAAGGGAATACTCCTCAAACATGTTTGGGACAAGGTCGAGTCTACATTCTAGGTATTACTGGGCGTGTAGTCGAGACCCCAGACCTTGACTACTAGGACCTGGACCCTTAAATACATGAAAGCACCAACCACTTTACAGACACCTTCAAACCAAAAACATTGAACCCGATTCCTACACAACAAACCTAGTGAAGGTCCATTGCAAGATTCGCGCCTGAACTCTGGATTCTACGCCTCGACATATACTATTCGCGATAATATGAAGATCTATCTACTTCAAGGGGATATTCCTTCAATGCTGGGTCGTGGGTTCTGTGAGCTTGCAGGTCTTGAATACCTTGAAGCGCGTGGTCATCATCATCGCATCTTGGCGCAGAGGGAGGTTCTTAGGTCTTCTCGGGCTTTGAGTTGTGGGGGATTTGACTGAAGGGATGGACCCCCAAGGAAAACTCGGTACGAGGGGCTTCCAGCACAATCGTCGGCCGCATGTGTTTCGCCAAAGTTGTCCCGAAAAGCTGGCGCGAGGTAGTACGATTTATGAGGTCCCCTACACCCGAAACCCTAAACCCCTTCTAATCCCTAAACCTTGAACCGTCTATGCTAGTCTTAAGGAAGCCGGGATCCGATTGCTGGTACCTTGAAGCCAATGCAGTAAGGACGCCTTAGCCTACAGCCCCTCCTCCAAAAAAAGAAAGAAGCACAAAGATAAAGGCACATATAATGATGGTGGCGATGCTGATGGTGCAGGTTCTGATGACGAAGGCTGATATTACCAAAGCAAGTACTGAACCCAAAAAAGTTCCAAATCCGGCTGGAGCACAACGAGCCCTAAACAGCTCCAACACCCCAAGCAAAAACCTGAAACCCAAATGCCTTGAACCCAGCTTTTAGCTGGAGATCACGTGAGTTGGAAAACAGCTTGGATGCAAGGCCTTTCCCTAGGATTAATTACCCCCGCTTGAAGGACTTGTTATGACTCGACGTGTCTACGTTTAGGAAGTTTTCTCTGTCCACCGATCCTGAGTAGCCCCCAGATCCGACCCCAAACCCGAAAAAAAAACACCCGCAAATCCCTTCTCTAACCTCATAACAACCGTTTAGCACCCCTGACAGAGACCCCTTTAAAAACGCTGCAGGTCTATAAATCCACATAAAGCCCAACCATGCAAAACCGTTTAGTGGAGCATCCCTGATAGAGACCCTGGAAAAATGCTGGCAGGTCTCCATCATCGTGTTCCGAACGCCGGTGACCCCTCAGAGCGCTGCCGGACCCAGTCTTCGTCCAGACAACTGTTTTTTTTCTTACCTTTGGTTAGTAGGGAATGGAAGAATGGCAGCAATAGTAGTTACTATTGTACCCCATTCCTCCATTCCCTACTAACCAAGGTAAGTCATGGGTGAGTCATGGGACTTAGGGTTTAGCTGCTGTTTTTGGAGGGTCATGGGGCTTAGGGTTCAGCGGTTTAAGGTTTAGGGTTTGGGGTGCCTTTAGGGCCGTAGGATTTAGGGTCAGGGGTTTGGGGTGTAGGGGTGCGGGAGTTTAGGGGTTTAAGGTTTAGGGTTTAGAGATTAGGTTTTAGGGTTTAGGGTACACTACTGGATGATCATGGGAATTAGTCATGAGGCTTGTAATTTACCTACAGCCCAGGGTACTGATAACCTTACTTACTAAGTCCCATGATCCTCCAAGTTGAGCATCGGATTTAAGATGTATAGGCATTAATAATACGCAGACGGGGGTTCCAGTTTTGGGGGTATATTGCAGGTATGTCAAGCAACCTCATGGGACGTTTATGGGTAATTCTTCTTGCCTCCTACATTGCGGGTTCAGGGTTCCAGGCTTTGGTCGGAGGCCTCAAAAGGTGGGATGAAGGTAGGTGGGATATTGCCAAATAAGAGTCCTTACATAAGGGATCCTTAATCCTCTATAAGGGTTACTAGAAGGGATCTATAAGGGTACTATAATACCTTAATAATTAGAATAGGGTTTTGGGGCCCAGTATACTGTAGACTATAGCCTGTAGCTATAAGAAGGAACCCAAAAATGGTATGGGTAATTATTTAGGCCCCTACAGAATCCGTGCCTTCGGCGTTCAACATCTTGGAGCTTCCACCTGTACCCCTGCAAGGCCGTTCTTGAAATTAATTTCTTAAGAAGGAACTACAACTCACGCTTTTCATGGCCCCATAGAACAGCCCCGTCTGGATAGCAAACATATACCAAGCCCTAGACACCTATATAAACCCAGACAGTACCCCACAAAACCTCCCACACTTTCTGGGGACCATGCAAAACACGATACCGTGCAGGAACTGGCATTGCCATTGGCGGCGTTTTGCTGTACTCGCTCACGAAGGCACCGCGTCCAACAAGCGACCCAAGTGTTGGCTTTAGGAATTGAAGTTCCGGTAAAGGGTTGTTACTAGATGGGGCTTAGGATGTTTAGGGTTAAGTTTTGGCGGCTTGTTTTGGCGGTTGGGATCTTAAATTAAGGCTCAAAGCATTAGAAAACCATGATGCTGCTTTTCATCGTCAATATGGGCTCCCTTTTTCCTGATACTTCCAAACCTCGAGTTGTATGGAAGCACAATCCAAAAGTTCCCCAGATGCATTCTGCTGCCTCTTGCTTGCTTCCAGCCAAAGAATTACCCATACTTATTTGGGGGGGGGGGGGGGGGGGGGTGGCACGGTAGAATGCGTACAATGTGGCTCGCGTGCACGCGCACCGGCGTGCACGCGCACCGGCTCACGCGCAATCCTCAGAGCCATGCAGCAATATGACTAGACCTCGTATTTGTAACCGTTGGATGAAAATTAAATGATGTTTAGGTAGTTATTCCACGTTTTTGCACCATTTAGGCTAAACTCTGCAAGTGTCCGCATCACAAGTTTCCGGCGCAGCACCCCGCAAACTAGTACGCTTGCTACATGCTACTTCCATCGAGATATGTCTTCTCGAGGTCCGGGTTGTAGCAGGCTCTGCGAGAAGCCGTGGCTGAAGAAATGCAGGCAAATCGTAGGTGCATCGTGGTGAAGTTCCCACACATACCGCAGGTTGTTTGATCTCTGCTGCTGGAAGTCAGGTTCGCAGCTTGCAGCGGGAGATCGGCATGACACGTTGCAGGTCTAGCGGCTGCTGGCGTGGAAATTTCGCCTTCGGACGATAGCATCAAAATCAAGGGTCAGTGGTCAACTCGGACATCATCCAGCAAGGCTATTAGCGAGAATAAGCAGTCGGCCTAAGGCTGCATTGCCAGAAAGCCGCCTTTGACAACAGGAACCTTTCCTGCAAAGGCTTCCTCACTTTTTCATCTGTGGCTGCTGTGGCCCTTATATCTCAAGACCACGGACATGTCGGAGGCAGAAGCATGCGTTGAAGCAGCAGCATCATACATTCAGGGCAGTTGGGCCTGCAAACTGGGCCGATAACCTCAACAACAAGCTGCTTAACGGTCAACGTTGGTTGTGCCCGGCTTCCCCTCAATGATTGCACACACCGGCTGGATGCACACCTGGACTGCAATGCTAAAGGGCAGTGAAAATCGTTATCATGGAGCCTCGCCTCACCCTCATTAGCATGGTAAAACCCAAACGGGGTGAAGGGTCCCATGCAGAGAAGAGCTGGGACCCACCGGGTCCCACCGAGCCCAACTTGGGTCCCACCGTAGAGGAGAGTTCGGACCCGGTGTATCGGGACACACGCATGGCTGGTGGTTTTGAGGGCGCGATTTTGGGTACAAAAAATGCTCCTGCTTCCGGCTTCATAGCGTGCCTCCATAGTATTATAAAAGTGCAATCAGCCCTGTCTGGGGGAAGGGCAAACTCTACGACGTAGGGCCATGACGCAGCAAGCTACGTGCAAGTTTTTGGTCTAGTCGCGTCTAGCAGCACGCTTGGGCGGTTGCAGGGCACTGGATTGGCAAGCAAAGCGTGCGACTTCCGGCTTCGTTTCTGGGGCCGTCTTCTGGGCAGCTTTCTTAATGCCAGCAGTAGCAAGGTCACACCGCGGGCCGAGTTTCGGAGCCACGGAAACTCCACATTTTGCGAACCACAATGTCGGCCGCAATCATTTAGACTACTTGTCGGGCTGCTTTGTGCTCCTATCCTTGGGACCAGATTTTGCTTCCTGTGTTCGAGTTCAGGTTTCAGGGTCGCTCTGCGGACCCCCAAATTGATAAGACCAATGCACAGTATTAACCTCACAAGGCCGCCCAGTGTTTCTGAGATGCTGATACGATGGTGCATCGCGAGGGTTGTGCTGGCAGGTTAAGGCACACGGTCATGGAAGCAGACCCATCTAGACTCATCGAAACAGAAGAATCTAAAGCAAGGCATTCCTTGCGATTGACATCCAAGCCGGCTTGTCGACGGTTGCATGTTCAGTGGGTTATGTTATAACTTCCTTCCCCAAAGGCTCCACATGGTGCGCCATTATGGAATCAGGCTCATAAGGCTCGAAACATGGTGTTAGTTGTATGTATGGTTTTGGGCTGGTAAAACCATGAACAAGCACAATTCAAGAGGCACGTGAAGCATATATACATAGCTATCCGATGTTTTATTCGATCTTATCACGCGATATGCAGAAATCCGGGTCTGAACTCATATATGTGCAATTATTTTCTCATGTCCATACACATGCATATTCATGCTGGTGATCAAGATCTCATGTGCAGATCGTCGTGCTTAAAGTTTTTTAGGTAGTTTTTTTATGGATGCATGTGGGCGGCTCTGCGCCTTCGCGCTCACAAGCGCAAAGCAGAGGATGGTCTGCCCACCCCCAGTGATCCTGCAGCTGTGTGGTGAGTGCTGTGTGGTGAGCAGTTCATATCATGATCAGTGCAGTTGCAATTGATGCATTGCATGGTTGCCTCGCAGCCCTCGGCCTGTGTCAGACACAGACTATTGCACATGTTGCATGCTGCTAGGATCCAGGTACTAAGTCCAGTTATATGTTTGAAAGCTAGGATGCTCCCAGTGGGTTGAAGGCAATTGGGTGATACCAGCTGTGTCTGCTGGACGGGGAAGCAAGCGGCCTTGCTTGTTTTGCCATGGCCAAAGCTGTGGAGATGGATGAGGCTGCCAGGTCGGACAGTGAAGGGCCAGACATGCCAGACATGGCAGTGGCCAAAGGGCGCACAATCGAGAAACCTTTGAAGTATCACCTCACGGTTTTCTGGCTGGTATAAATCTCTCCAGTGCGTGTGTGTGTGTGTGTGTGTACTTCGCTCGGTGCGCATGAATCATGTTTAATGGGTGTGTGCTGATGTCTGTATATATATATATATAGCCCCACATTCCCGAGGCTGATGCCGAGATTGTCGTGAACAGCTTGCAGCGCTATCTTACCGACTCCCTCCTGGCTTAGCGTGCCGAGCAAGAGGAGATGAAGGACTCTATATGCGGATCCGAGTAAATGTTCAGTCATCGCTACCAGGGAGTCGTGCAAACACATGAGAGATTAGGATTGTGATGACGACGGCGTGCCCCACTTGGACCCAGAGACCTTCACCTTTTTAGATTTCGGGAAGACTGATCAGGCAGGTATGGTGCAATCGATTGCACTATCGCTATGCATGCTATGCACATGAGTTGTGAGCCGGATACTTGTGAAGTTTGTGCCCGGCCCTAGAGCAGGTCACCGAAGATGATCTGGAGGTGGAAGCGAACTATGAGTTCCTAAAGGCTTACATGCCACGTGTCTTGATGCAGAAGCAGTGCCTCCCGAACAAGGGCGATCATATTGCCTCCGAGCTGCATGTGTACGGATATCACCAGTGAATCGCATGTGTGTGTCATGGTTGCTCAGACGTGCAATATAGAGCGAGTGTATGAATAATAAGGCTGCATATACACATGTGGCGTGTACGACTCTCTGGACCTTTTGGCCGTCGGATGTGCGCAAAAGAGGAGGGAAGCGGATTCTCAAGGACTGCATGGGCATATGCTAGCCTCGTCGCCATCATCTCAGGAAGGTGCTCCTCCGGCTCGGCCACGAAAACACCATGGGCCCCTTTTCCGCCTGGCTGCCCCGTCACTTGCCTTGGTCGGTGGTCACGTTGTAGCAGCCATTCTTCGCCGTTCCGAGCCAAATTGGGCTCCGACTGGCCCACCGGGAAACCTTGTTCCCCATCCAGCTCGGTCGCCAGCTCGACCATCGCCGAAGTCACCTTCTCCTCGTCGCACATGTCGCCGGCCTTCGTCTTGATCATAGCTCGGTCTCGCTTGGTCAACTTCGCGTGGTCGACCAGGTGGCCTACGAAGAAGGCCTCCCCCATCGCCATGTTTGGGTCCACGCCCAAGAGGTGGCTTCTGTAGACCCCGGCCCTCGTCACATAGCTTTCCATCGACTCGCCGGCAGCCCGCGACAACTGCATCAGCCTTCGCCGGTGCTCATCCACTCGATGCCGGTCCACCTGCTTGATGAGCGGCGACTTCTCGAGCTCCCGGAAGATCACCGCCTTGCCGTCGGTGCCATTCACATCGCTGATGTTCAAATGCTTGACCAGCTGAGCGGCCCGGTCCTTCAGCTGCACCATCATCCTCGGGCCGATCAACTCCACCAGAGCTAGAGCAGCTAGAGCCTATGTAGTTTCGAATCGTATATACACATTATTTTGGCAGGACTGGAGCAAGCGTGAGGCCAATCGTGCACGTGAGCTGGCTTCGCATATACTTCGCCTCTCTAGGCAAACCTTGCTTGCAAAGCAGCTGAGTTGCATTTAGTGGCAGAGACAGAAAGAGAGAGAGAGAGAGAGAGAGAGAGAGAGAGAGAGAGAGAGAGAGAGAGAGACAAGAGTTTAGTTTACGTGAGAGAGAGAGAGAGAGAGAGACAGAGAGACAGAGAGAGAGAGAGAAAGAGAGTGGAATAGCGATGAGATCAATATTGCACGGTTCAAATTTTCAGGTCACCCCGCATCCAAGTTCTGAAGAAGTTGGTCTACGTTGCTATGGGCTGGGAAGTGACCACAGAGCAGCCTCGACCCCGAAAGACTCGCCGAATGGAGATCACAGAGCCACCCCCTGTGCCAGCCGATTTTCCCCAGGATGCTGTGTCAGGGATCCGGTTTGAAACATATATACAAATTAATATTTAAAGAATTCCACCAGGAGCACGTCGAACAACATGTGGACCCTATCAGTGAAGAGCCGTTCACCGATGGCGAGGACGGCAAGGAGCCAAAGGATGCCTTGGATTTGACGTCTAAGTTCGAGGAAGCTATGGACTTGGATGATGAGCAGGTGCCTTCAAAGGTATCTTTAAAATTTCCAGGCCAGGGTTTACATCTTATGAGGGTGTATACGCAGTTTTTCAACCAATCGGTACATACGTGGTGGCATGGCAAATGCATATGC